TTTGAAAAATATGAAACATTTGGCATAAAGACACGTGTTTTCTCCTGATGAAATAAACAAGTTGTATCCTTTAAGAATCTTTAGTTGGAGGGAGGAATTCTTAGTACTTGGTTTAATTTCTTATTGGAAAGATTTATTTAAGTTTCATATATGGGGACAAATTGTGGTTTAGATGGAAACTGGCTAGGCTTTTGTCCAGAATTAGTGCATTTGTTTGTCAAATAAATTGATTAGGTTACAATATTATTGTATGACTCAGTGTTATTTAAGGAGGTAAAGCGAATCGAAGCGACCAAGGCTCCTAACACTTAGGCGAGAAGCGAAGCTACACGGTTTACCTAAGCGAAGCGAACAGTTAAATTTTTTTTTTATTTAGTTTAATTACTTCTAAACAATCTAAGTTCTAATTTTATATATATTAAATATTTAAATGCAAGTAAAATCATAAACATTTAAATTAAAACAAACACTAATAGTATCTCAAATCTTAATAACAGTCATAACTTAAACATTTAAATTCAAACAAATACTAATAATGTCTCAAATCTTAATATTTAAAAACATAAGACACAATTCAAGCAACTAAAGAAACCATCTCAAGGACTTAGAAATCAATCCCCATCTCTAAAGCAACCATCTTCTTCATTATCCTTAGATTCATATGACTTATAAATAATATTTCATAGCAATTGTAAATAATTTCAAGCAAATAAAGAAACCATCTCAAGAACTTAGAAATCAATCCCCATCTCTAAAGAAACCATCTACTTCATTATCCTTAGATTCATATGACTTATAAATAATATTTCATAACAATTGTAAACAATTTCATATTTCACATGTATCAACCAGTAAAAAAAATAAATAAAAAATTCACATGTATCGAATGCATTAAAGCTCGTTGTTTTCATCTGTTTGTATAATTATTTTAAACGTTTAATTCCATCAATATCAATAAGAAAAAAAAGGGACGTGTTTTGTTCGGATCATTGCTTATCAGAAAAAAAAAAAAACAGACTAGCGATTGTAAAAAAAAAATCATCAGTGCTTAAAAAATAAAAGAGATTACCAATCGGAGACAGATCAGAAAAAAAAAGAAAGCAAAAAAGCGGAATCGGTGAGGAAGGAGTAGCAGAGAGAAGAAGAAAGAAGAAAAAATGGAAATAGAAAAAAGGAGAAGAAGAAGAGACTTATCTGTTCGAATCAGAAAAAAAAAAA